TAAAAAAGTGTATAAGTTACTATTTATAATTGGATCCTGTTATAAAAATGCCACAAAACAACTTTTCAATAAATATTCATACTCTCATTACTGAGCAGCATCATCAGTTCTTTTTTGAACTATTTGACAAAAATCCAACTTTACATAATTCACTAAACCATAAGCAACATCATCGATTATATTCTGTATTAATTGCAATTGAACCTTTCCTTGCAGATTCACTTCTAGATGCACGTAGTGCTCTACGTGGTGTAATTAATGAACAGGTTATTTACTATTTTTTTTTTTTTTTTTTGTATATTTTTTTTTGTACTAGTTAATGTATAAATTTTTATAGTTTTCAAAAGGGTCTACAATGAATCCAATTAAACTTAATGAATATGAATATTACAAAGAAGCCCAAAAAAAAAATAAAAAGGATGTTCAGTGGCATGAATTTTTAAAACTTGATAAAAAGCAATATTTGAACTTTAGAGTAAACTTTTACAGTTATTATTGTTACTACGTATTTGATTTTTTATATTATTTTATTATTATTATTATTATTATTATTATTATAGAATGATTTGTGAAATTGTGCGGCTTCTCGGTTCTTACGTAGTATATCATTATCTCGCCAACCAAAAGGAAAGGCTGAAGAAGTTATAAAAGAAGTAAGGTTTAAATTTTTTAATATTTATAAGGGCAAAGAAAGTTTATATTTTAATTATATATTATAGTTTAATGAAGCAAATTCAATATTTCCATCCTCTAAAGCTGACTTTGTTCTTCGTGATTGGCTTACCTCATATTGTAATAGCATGGGTATGTAATTTATTATAGTTTTGGATAAAATATTGGTTGCAATTGATTTTTTTATTTGTAATAGTTGATCAAGAGAAAAAAAAGAGAGTTACTAAAGCAAAAATGAAAGGGTATGCACAACCACCAAAAAAAAAGAACGTACAATCTTCTAACAGAAAGCAAAATATAAATTATGTAGATGTTAAAAGAACACCTAATCATAGTGATACAGATGAGACATATAATAATGCACAAGATTCTTTTTACAACAATGTTGAAAGTGTTAATAGCGATAATGGTAATAATTGATTTATGTTAGTTATTATTTAATTTAATATATATATATATATATATATATATATATATATATTTATTTATTTATAATATTAAGGTAGAAAGATAATACGTATCAGTTTTGTATATATACCAATTTCAGATACCCTATTAAGGATGTACTCTTAAATACTTGTTAATTGATATTTATTATTTGGGTAGATATGTTACGTATTAATAGAGATATCCAAAATGGTATACAAAGCTGATACATATAAGATTGGAATCTAAAAACTATTTTTGTGACCTTTGATCAAGATGACACAGATAAGAATGCACCTAAATCTGATAACTTAACATCTACTGATCTCAATCAAGATAACACAACAACCACTGATTTTACCTTCAGTCAAGATAACACAGCTCTTGTAAAAAAGATGCCAAAAAAAAAGAAAATCAGCCCCCATACAAGCACATAGTACAAATATTAAAGTTATCAATCACCACTATCAGGCTATAAATCTTGACAATGATGATAATATATAAAACTTTTGACTTGAAACTATATAATACTACGTACTAAAAAATATTCGCCCTTCTATTAAAATATAAATATAAAGCAAAGCACTGTAGTTTCAAAGGATAATGTTTCTTCATTATTAAAAAATTGTCTTCGTTCCTCCGTTCAAAAATCTAATAATATTGAAAACATATCTAAAATGGTTGAACACAGTGCACAAGATTCTGGTAATTCAAATAATTTTTAGCTATATTTATATGAAAGAATATTTGTGGTATTAATTCAAATTATGGCCCGGATTAAGTTTAATTCACCATGCTTTAAATATATCTATTTAATTTATTTATTAATTTAATTTATTATTTATATAGGCCGAAAGCGAAAAAGAGAGCAGGGAGTAAAAAAAACCACACATAAAACAAGGGCCGGTAAAAAGTCAAAAAACTAAAATTTGGCATAATCAAAAAGGTGCATGTACTCTATACGCATGTGTATAGTCATATAAATAAATATTAGATTTTTATTTATAAATAATATATATATTAAAGCTCTAGCTTTTCATCTATTTAAGCTCAGTAATATTTCCGGATTTATTTCATGATCATAATATAAAGTTCCATTATATTATTTATACTTAATAGTGATAGTAGTTCAGTAATGTTCCTATATTTATTCCATAATAATTATAAAAGTTCCATATATGGCCTATTTGGATTTTTATAAGTTTCTGTGTTTATTCTATATTAATTACTTTTTACTATTAGATAATTCAGTAAATTATTATATAAATTTTAATGAAATCTCCAACTAATTTCCATAATTAATATTATTTTTATTTAATTATCACATTGGTTCAGTAAAACTTTAATATAATTTCCATTAGTTTTTTAAAATTACTCCTGAAAAATCTATAAATATGCTACATTTATGGAAGAAATATGGATATTGTTACTTAGTAATTTAGATGGAAATAATATGGAATTTATACACAGAGAAATTATGGAAAAATTCGATTTGATTTTTTTTACAGAGTAACAGTAACCTGATCAGTCCAGTATGTGAGGTGTACGATGTTTATTTAAAAACAGGTATGAGTACAAATGCTGTAGAAGGTGTGTATTTGAAATTTCTACCTGAATTTGACATGTGGCATTGCCTAAGGCTAATATTTGTGCTGCAATTAACGTTAATAGGGGATTTCAAATTTGGACAGAAATAGATAAAGTATTCATTTTCTAATAAGTGACATAATCTTTATTTCATTTTCCAATAAATTTGTAATAATAATTTAACCTTTGATGAAAAACTAATTTAACTCCAATGGTGCATAAGGAGATAAAGATAAACTTGATAGCCTATTAAGACAATATGATGCTATGAAAAGAAGACTTTAATATTAATAGGGGTAATAATGCAGCGATACAACTACAGGCGGTGCTATCAGGGATATCTCAATAAGGATGATGGGTTAAAAGCGAACAAAGATCAAAAGGATGTATGAGGGATTAACCAAGTTTAGTAACCAATCGTAAGTCTTGTTCTCTATCACAATTCTCATAAGTCATTAAGGCAATAGCAATATCTGATTCTACAAATGGTTCAGAATCCAAGTCAATAAGCCAAATCGAAGTTACAAGTTAATTCAGTCTTTTGAATAGAGTTTTGAAAAGGTTTATTAAAGTTAAAGTTGAATTCAAAAGACAATACACAGGGAAATATTCAGTTAAGTGAATATTCAAGCGAAAGTAAACAATTATTTAAGGATAGAATGGTATTCTTTATTTAATCATAAAATAGAACTGAAAAAATCTAATTGTCATCATTTGGAACTTTAGATTCTTAACTGCATTTGAACTTTGGGCACATTAACATGCCAATAGCTGCATTTATATGCCTATAAGCACGTTTATGTGCTCATCTCGAAGTCATTTCCTAGTGATTATGCAAATACATCATTATAACAGGTCTAGCAAATTCTTGAATGTGTGCCAGGTTTGTGGCGCAGTTTTTTTAAACTATGAATCAGATCTCAAAATTAGGAGTAATGTAACATGATCAAAAAAATTCAAAACAAACATTCATTTTATTAATTACTCGAAACATGCATAAGAAACCACCTTTAGTGGCTAACAAAAGTTTTTCTTGTGTGATTTTACAATATATCTCATTATTAATTAACAGTAATACAGAAGCTAACCATAACATAGACTAGTATTCCACAAAATCAAATCAAAGTTTGAATTTAAATCAAATATTTGAAATTATTTGTTCAAATTAATTAAAAATTTGATCAAATAATTTCAAATATTTGATTCAAATTCAAATAATTTTAAATATTTATTCAAATTCAAAATTTGATCAAATAATTTCAAATATTTGATTCAAATTCAAATAATTTCAAATATTTATTCAAATTCAAAATTTGATTTGATTTTGCAGAGTACAAACATAAACAAATTTTGTTTACGTCACAAACCTGGTACATATTCAAGAATTGCAAAAAATTTCTGTGCCAGGTTTTGTTGATCATTGTGATGTAGTCAAAATTTTTAAAGCTTGAAATTAGAGTTAGTGTTTAGAATAAGGTTAGAGATTAGAAGATTATGTAGTAAAATCACTTAAGGAAAACTTTTTGTTAGAGCATTAAAGGTGGTTTTTTATGTAAGTTTTGATAAATAAGCGATTTTTAACAAAACAAACATTTGTTTTGAAATTTCCTAATTGCAAATAGGTGAATTTTAGAAATTTGGTAATATTTTTAAATAAGATCTTCAAAATTGTACCATTCATGTTTGTAAAATTTGTGATAATTTCGAATTTATCTTATATTGATTGGTTGATTTATTTAATAATACTAATTACAATACTATATTACAGTACTTACTTTTATGAAGACTCTGCATTTTTTCTTTATTGTAGCAGTTTGAAAATTTGTATTTACATTTAGCAAGACCTCAGGATCAAAGATCCTAAAATAGTTTTTTAAAATCCTAAAATAGACAAACCTTTACTAGTAACACTATCAATGGTTTATTTTATTCAAATAATAGTTAAGGTGCTGTTTATTTTTATGAATTCTTTGCATTTTTTTCTTTATTAATAATAGTTTGAAAATTTGTATTTATGTATAACAAAACCTTAGATTCAAAGTTCCTGAAATATTTTTTAAGATTCTGAAATAGACAAAATTTTTACTAAAATAATGTTAAAGGTTGCTTATTAGAATAATAGTTAAAGTGCTGTTTACTTTTTTTATAATAATAGTTTAAAATTTATACTTAGCAAGACCTTAGTTTTAAAGATTATTTAAAATTATAAAACAAGCAAAGCTTTTACTAACAATTATATTGAAGGTTTGCAATAAAAATTGCAAAATTAATTTAGTTTTTAAAAAAATCTAAATATATTTGTACAATAATTCACCTATCTTGTATTTTAGAATTCATTAGATAAATCAATATAATATGGTTTAACTAAAATAAATATAACAATGAGTAATATTGTTTAATCAATAATATGTAAATTAAAGTATGTCGAAGTAATGTATTGCCTTGTAAACATTAATAATATTACTTGTGAATTCAATTTTTTAATTAATCTAATTGGTCATGTAGATTCTCATGACTTTGTTTATATAATTTTATTGGTTAAACTATTTTTAGATATCACAAATATCATATTCAAATTCAGGTAATATATTTAAATTTTCAAAATCTGTCTATATAATGATAAGTTACACCTGATTCATGAAATTTGAATTGTAGTTTAGATAACTGTGCCACAATGATCAACAAAACCTGGCACAGATGCTATTAAAAATTTATCAGAAAATAAATAAAATGATACATCACTCATTTGAAAATAAATACATTAACTATTTCTGACTAAATTAGATTTTCACAAATTAATTCTCGTTAATTCTGAAGCCCTTAATGTAAATCTTTTATCTCTTAAACTGTTTCTTTTTCAAATTTGCTCCAAAATTTTGAAATTTAATTTGTAATTCATGTAGCACTTGTATTATAAAAAAACAAGGGGTTTGTTTATTTAATCTAAAAATCTCTAACTTTTGCTTGTTTAGAAATTTATTTATTTTAGTGCTACATAATATATTGTTCCTCTTTGTTAAAGGATCACTAAAGGCCTATGATTACATAATCACAAAGTTTTAATAATAATTAGGGCTAGTTTAATATTTAAAATAGGTAGGTATATAGGTAAAATTGCCTTTATGACCTTTTTGATAATGCACTAAAGCAGATTTTGATTACCATTTTATATATTTTTGAGATTTTCTGATTTTTGACTTCTTTGGGCTGTTTCATGTAAACAAATTTCATGAGTTTTATTGGTTTATCTACATATATAAAGTCACTTGGTTATAAGGCTTTGGCAGATCTCTAAACTTGTTTAATATAAGTTAAATTAGTTAGTAATTATATATATACAGACAAAACAGGAGGTTGTCTAAAGCGAAGAAACATCATATGATCAACAGCCAATCAAATTATAGAATTTTGATAATTGCTAGCAATGCAAAAAAACAAAAAATCTGAAAAATACAAAAAATCATAGTCTAAATCTACCTCAGATAAGTTAATCAAAAATGTTAGGAAGGCAATTTTGCTTATAAAAAACTAACCTAACTCCAATATAAAAGACTCTAACCTAAAGTTATTTGAAAAAATTATTTTAGATGTCTTCAAAACAGGCAATAATTCAGTCAGAGTTACAGATGATCAACAAAAATTATCTTGTACTACAAAAGAAATTTGACTTACTCATTGAACAATTATACCCTCAAAGTTATTAAACAGTTTATCATAAATGGTGAGGTTCCTGTATTTGGTCCCAGTTTAAAAATATGGCTAAGCAAGAGAAATACAGAAAAAATTTACTGCAAAGTCAGATGTGGTATACAGTATATAATTTGCCTTTATGTTTTAATAAGCAATGGCCAGATTGTTTTATTGAGTATCATGAATACAAATAATAAATAAATAATGTTTTTATACTGTGGTGTAAAGTTTTGTATCATATTTCCTATTATTTTGTCATGGTTGAAGTATAAGTGAGATCAAAAAATTTGGAGGCAAATTTGCCCCAATTAACAAATAGTTTAAAGAATAATAAATCACTCTATAATGAACCTTAAAATATTTATTAGAGCTTATTATATAAGCATATTAAATTCAAAATGCAACTTTTAAATTTTTTGTTATAAGAACTGTCTGTTCATTATAAGTTATCTATATATTATTTATTTATTTATTTTTTATTTGTTTGTTATTCATATTTTGATAAATAAAAAGGTGGTTTTATGTGTAGAAATATAAGAAAATATGATAAATAAATGATTACAATTCACTTACATTATAGTGAAGTTAATAGGCTAGAAAAAAATCTTCAAAACAGTTTATATATATATATTATTCGCAAAAATTTTTAAATAACAGAAATTTGCTAAATAATGGTGTTATCTGACAATTTATAATAATGATTGGTAGAAAGTTATCAGCTGAGTTTTAATTCAAGTATACATGAATATTTCGTAGCATATGAAAAAAATAACAGACAGAAATAAATTCATGATCATAAGAGTTTGTTGAATAATGAGAAAATATTATATATACTTTAATGATCACATATCAAAATTTCACTATAACAAGGATGAGCTGTATTTGACATACTGGTTTTTTTCCATAATTTAACTCGTGATTATATTTTTAGAACTCTACAATCTTTTGTAGCTTTGTTAAAATTATTTATTTGTGTTAATTTGGTTCATAAATGCAGATTCATTTATAAATCAAACTACAACAGAAGCTTACTACATTAGCAATCATAAGTAGTGCAACAAAAAAAAATTTTTACTTAGATCATACTACCTCTCGCAATTCTAGCTATATCAGGTAGTTTTTTTTCTTTTTATTCACTAATAGTGCCTTTTTCTAATTTTAGAATTTTAGTAGCCATCATTAATACAGATGCAAAAATAATCATGTGTGTATTATGAAACACATGTTGTATTACTTTTGCTTGTTTTTAACAAAGACCAGATCACATAATTTGTGCAACATTAATAAATATAAAAATGTCAATCCCATTGTTAATTTTGCATCTTGTATAATGGTAGAATTAATTGATAATCAAGAAAAAAAAGGAAAAGCAGAACAACTCCCACCAATGAGCCCAAGTATTACTCTTGCTCCAGAAAGAGTACTTGACAAAGGTAGTAGGTTGGGTTTATAATATTTCTTTTTTCATGATCTCACAAATTAAAAAAAGATGGTCAACAAACTGCTTGCTTAAAGATTTAGCAAGGGTTGGTTGTCCAACTTCGTTGAGCAAGCCAACCCAAAGAAGGATAGTGAATCTCATTACCTTCTGTAAGTGCTCTACTGCTATTGAAGTGAGAGTTTACCTCGCAAAAAATGCAAATATGAATATTTCGGTGTCTACAATTCGCTATATACTTTGAAACCATGGGTTAGTGTCAGAGTAAAAAAAAATCCCTACAAAAGTGATAGTCATTGAAAAGTGTGGCTTGCTTTTGCAAAGAAATATGAAAATTAGACTGTTGAAGATTGGTCCAAAGTAATCTGGTCAGATAAGTCACAGTTCAAAATTTTTGGGTCAGATGCAAGCAATACTATTGGAAGCGTCGTGAAGAACCATTAAACCAGTTCCATGTCAAGCCCACAGTGAAATATGGCGGTGGTTTAATTATAATTTGGGGGTGCTTTTCCACCTGTGGTGTTGGTAGCTATTATAAAGTCAATAGCACGATGGATGGTGACTTGTATTAGCATATACTTTGCGAAGACCTGATATGGATGATCAGAGAACAAGAATTTGATGTTAGGGAGGTAACTTTCCAACAAGATGGAGCATCTTATCATATAGTGATCTTGATGGAATGTTGGCTTAAAAGAAACAAGGTTAAGTTCTTCGATTGGCCCTAATCCCCAATCTGAACCCAATTGAAAACCTATGCAATGAAATTAACCATTGGTTGAGGGATCTTCCTAAACAAATTTTAAGTAAGATGGATCTTTGACAAAAGATTCAAAAGGTCTGGCAGGCAATTGATGTTGAAACCTGCAGAAGGCTAGTTTGTTCGATGCCAGACCGAATTTATGCTGTAATTAGGGCTCGGGGTGGGTACACCTAATGGTGAAGGTGAATAATTTTTAAATAGAAAAAAAAATTTATTATTTTTATGTAATAAAAATTTTTTTGTTTACAGCCATGTTGCTGCAAAAATAAGCAAAAGTAATGCAACACGGCATTTGAAATAAAGCTCATGCCTGTGAAAAATTTTGTTCATTAAATTTTTTTGGTTGTTTTATTGATGAAAACGTTGGTATTAGTGAATAAAATAAAAAAAAAACTACCTAATATGGCCGGTGTTACACCTGAACTACACCTCTTAATAGTAGTTCAGGAATATAGCGATTATAGTAAGAAGACTATGATCTTGTGATTTTATAAAGACTAATAATGGCATCAGATATACGACTTATCAAAGAGGTTTTACTAGGCTTTTATTGAAAGAAACCATGACTAAATGTATATAAGGATATAGATAGTTGTTCTAATAATATAATATACTCAGTATTTAAGGTATATATTATATAAGCTCACAGACATGAATGTCCTCGAAAGTATGTGAGGTAATGTAATTTTTATTCAACAATAAAGTTACAATCGTGAAGTTCCTTCACGATAGTCACATGATCAAGATCATTAAGTCACTTAATGATATAAATTAATTTAAAGTATATGAAGACACGATTACTTTATTATAATAGATAGGTAAATGGATACAATGATAAATAAAATATTATAGAAAAAAGAGGAAGGTGCGAACTACTTTTACCAAGACAAAAGGTCAGATCTTTTATACATGTTTTGTCGGGCTATAATATACAATGCTTTTACTCTTTTATCATCTAATATTAACTACAACTTTTGCTAATCTAATAATTACAGCGTAGAAATTCATGAAGACATGAGATGGAGAAAATTAGCACGACACATATGAACTTACTCATATGAGATTGATTAGATCTATGTTCGATTCTGAATATCTTTATGTTGGGCACAATCATGGAACCATATAATATAACGAACATCAGTATCCACAAAGTCAGGTGGTAAAAATCCTATGTAACAATTTCTCCCCTGCTTAATTATGAGCTCCTGCGAATAAGTATAGATAATAACATATATCAACTTGAAATATTCCATAAACATTGTTCATGGCAATCAAGTTCTCTCATAATATCTTTTTAATATCTATGCATTTCGTAGAACCTCTAAAATTTGATTTTCCAATATGCACTGTTTATATACATCTTGCGCAATATGAGCGTATATTATATAGGATCCCAACCACTTTGGAGTAAATTTTTCTATATATCTTCCAAGTTGAGCTGCGTCAAATAAAAGAACTTTATCTCCCATGTTAAAGGTACATACAACTCTTTTAAGTTTTTTATCACATCTAAATTTTTGCTATTGTTAAGATTTACTGATATTTTCTTTAGTTATTGCTGGTCAACTGGTAGATTGTTTACTAATATATTTACTTGGTTCCTTCTAATGGAGCCGATAATGGAAAATCGGTAATTTTAGCTTTATGGCCATAGATAAGGTAAAATGGGATGAATTTAGTTGTTGAATGTTTGGATGTTCGATATGCGAACAATACCGATGATATCAGTGTATCCCATTTCTGATTCTGGTTTATTAATTATGCCAAAGATTCACATAAGGTATGATTATACTGTTCTACTAATCTATTTGTTTATGAATGATATGGTGTGGTCAACAAGTGTTTAATTTTAAATTCTTTGTCAAGAACTCTAATACTTCATTATTGAAATATCATCCCCTATCTGATATTATATAGGCAGGACATCCATGGCGGCAAATAATTTCTTGAAAAATAAATGAGCCATTTGTTGAACATTGGAAGTAGGTATGGTTTGAGCTTCAGACCATTTAGTCAAGTAATTGACGGCAACAATAATGTAACAATTTATTTTTGAAGTTTGTTCCAGGGGGCCTACAAAGTCAATGCCGATTTTGTGAAATAGCCCTTCTATAGGTATTAGTTGTAATAGGCCAGGAATTCTAAACTTCCCTGCTTTTGACACTAATTGCAAGTTTTTACATATTCGCGGATATGATTATACATTTAGAGCCAGTAATATTGGTCGCAAATCTTTTCAAACATCTTTTTTACTCCTAAGTAAGCACCCAAGGAATGATCATGCATAAGATATAATAATAGTGCTAATTCCTCCTGCTTTATAACCCTTAATAACTGAGCCTTTTTAGATTTTTGATGATCTCTTTTATAGAGTAATTGGTTGTAGATTACAAAAAATCTGCTCTGCGACTCTAACGATTTCTTTTAGCGAGCATTAAAGTGTGATGTATATCGAGCTATCTCTAAGAAGGTCTGTATGTATTTATATTGTGTTGAGTCTATTTTTTTATAAGGTTAAAAAAAAATAAAATGATAATAATGGAGAAAGAAAGAAAAAAAAATAATAATAATAAAAATAAATAAAACTAATAATAATGATAAAGGCAGTTTTGTTAACTAATTTATATTTGTAAATTATTTAGTGATGCGGTTGCAGTGATCGATTTGCAAAGTTTAGCATCGTTTGTGGATGGTTCTGAATAGAATATTAGCAAGTGATGACGGGGTTAACATCCTTCCACCATACTGAATTGCAAAGATAGGTGTTCTTAAGATTGTTATGTTTGTTTAACTGCTGAATTGTAGGTGTATATAAAGGATTTAGCCACCAGGGCCCATTTATTAAATGATCCTCTATATCATTTTGTTTAATTAAATCCTTGACTCTAACAAAAATTTCACTCTTTTTCTTAGATCCAGCTTTCTTATTTGGTGAGTCATCCGTTAAGTCATCGTCTTCATCAGGAGTAGGCCAGTAACTCCTACTAATTTCTTCTACTAAATTCCTTTTTATTGTAACCCATAGTTTCAAATCACAATAACATTTGGCGCAGTCATCTTCTGGTAAGTATAATTTATCCTCACACCAACATTGTGTAAGAGGACCTTTTCAATCACGCATTAAATGCTTTTCTTTTGTTTTCTGGCCAAAACGCTTACTAATATGTTCGATATAATACCAGGTATACTTCTGGTTATTATACTTAATTCAGTCTTTAGCAAACTCGATGTTTTGATATGGCCGAATGTCTTGTAAGATATGCGCAGGTGGGTTAGGCCGCAATACTTTTAATACTTCCTGATAAGTCTGATCATTTTGATCTGTATATTGAGATTCTACCTCAATGTGGTACACCTGTACTTCAATTTTTTAAGAACTATTAGGCAACCATAATAAAGCATTGGCATTACAATGCTTACAGCCTGGCTGATGAATAATGGTGAAATTATATGGCTCCAACCTGAGAATCCATCTCACCTATTTACCTTTTAATTCTGATGTTCTTAACCATTGTAATGATAAATAGTCCATGATAAGTAAAATGGCTTGGATCCCAAATATTGATAAAAATGTTTTACTGCCCAAATGATAGTGAGACATTCTAACTCTGGTATGGAATAGTTTTGTTCAGCCCAATTTATACTTCGACTTGTATATGCTATTACATATTCTTTATTATCTTTATCTAATTGTGCTAATACAGCACCCAATCCTAAAATGGAGGCATCAATATGGAGATAAAACGGCTTACTAAAATCAGGATGTTGCAACACCGGGGATGTAATCAAATAGGTTTTTAAGGTTTGAAACGCCTTTTCTTGAGCTGCGATCCAATGATATGGTTTATTTTTTTTCAAGAATAAATTTAAGGGTTTGGTGATTTTTGCGAACTCTTTAATAAACTTTCTATAATATATCGCAAGGCCCAAAAATGATCATATTTCCTTAACTGTAGTGGGTCAGGAAAGTTTCTGACTTTTAGAATCTTATCATCATTAGGTAATATTCCGTTAATACCGATTACATGTCCTAAAAATTTAATTTTATTTTGAAAGAATGAGCACTTCTTAGCATTTAATTTCAGGTCTGCTTCCACAATTTTATTGAATACTTGTCAAAGGTGCTTTATGTGATCCTTAAAAGTTTTAGAGTATATAGTAATGTCTTCCAGATACACTACCACAAACTTATTAAGGAAAGGTTCGAAGATATCATTCATTAAGTGTTGAAAGGTTAAGAGTGCATTGTATAATCCAAACGGTATTACGTTAAAGCCATAAGTTCCAAATTTTGTAATAAAAGCAGTCTTGGGCCTGTCTTTCTTCTTGACAGCTACCTGCCAATATCCACTAGCCATATCAAGACTAGTAAACCACTTGGCTCCCTCAAACACAGTTAATATTTCATTGATATTAGGTAGTAGATACACATCTTTCTTTGTTACAAAGTTTAACCTATGGTAGACAATATAAATCTGCTTACTACTATTCTTTTTGAGAACAAGAGCCACAGGTGATGTTCAAGGACTTTTAATTGGGCTAAAAATTTCTTGCTTTTCCATAGCCAATATCTCTTCTGGAGGAACCCTTGATTGTCTTGTGATATACCATATGCCCGCTGTTTGATGGGTAGGGCACCACAGGTATTAATTTCATAATATGTTAGGTTAGTACATTCTAGCCCAACCGTTTGACCCATTTTACTAATTTTTTCGGCGAAAATTTTTTTATTTTTTTGTAGCAGATCTTGTACCCATTGTTATTAATCCGTTAAAAGGTCTTTGTTAATATCGAAGAGAATTTCTTCTGATTCTTGATGACTTTCTAGTGATTTGGTCAAATATACTGCTAGATTTTGATCTGTCCATAGGTTATAGTATAACTCCTCTTCCTTGGAAACATATTCGTCAGTGTAGAAGGCTTCATAGATCTCCTCACTATCATTTTTAAGTATGTTGATCCATTCTTCTTTCATTGGTAAATTCTTCAAATTCTGATGCAAGAACCCTATTACTTATATGTGTTGTATTGATAGTAGCTTGCCTATCTAAATACCTTATATGTAATGTATTTTTATTAAAGTCTAGTTTAGCCCTAGACTTATTGAACCAATCTATTTTCAGTAATAAAGTCTCTTTTTGGGACTTAATTACCTATAAATCGATAGGTATTATAATACTCTGCAAGGTTATTCGAACTTCACTAATGACTCCCAAAGCTTTAGTCTTATTTTTATTTGCTGTTTTTATCATAGTATTAGATGGTTTGTCGATTACAAGACCAAGTTTTTCTATTAATCGTTTAGTAACAATATTAACGGTGGTGCCTGAGTCTAAGATAGAAACTACCGGGTTGCCTCTGATATATACGTGACAATGCATTGCTATAGTTTTTTGTTTGGTACTGGCTGGTGAGTAATTGGCCTTAGTGGCAGGGGCTTTTGTTCTTCTTACAGCTTTAGCCAGATTATGCTATTGATTATGATATTGTAACAACTGACCATATGTGGCCCATGCTTGCATACTCAACAAATTTTCTGCTATGTTGTATGGAGCAAGCTTATCAACTTAAGAGGGTAATCGTTTGTTAATGATTCTTTTGAGAGGTGGAGAGGAAGGACTATCTTCGATATTCATAGAAACAGTAGTAGAAGGTTTGGATGCAATTTTACAAAGACGAGGTTCTGCTCATTTTTCCTTCTGTTCTTTTCAATTGGTACTATATGGCTGATGTCAAGCCATATAGATTTCTTCCTCCAATTTACTCTTATATACAGTATCGGCAAAGTTGATATCTCTATTTTGACCCTGTAACTGTTATTATTATTGTTAGGTCATCTATAATTCTGACGCTGTCACTCTCTAAGTGGCATTGGTTCCAGGTTACAATCCATAGCATAGTGACTACACTCACCACACCTGAAGCAAGTGATGCTAAAATTTCTTTGAGGATTTTCACTTCGATGTAGTAACCTAGATTCATGCCGATCAGTTGATGCAGCTTGTGCAGTGAGTGCTGTAGCAATGGTAGTATAATTTAAAGTCATTTGCTCTAATTGTTTAGTTAGTTGTTCGATCTCTTTATCATGATCTTTTAATTTTTCAGGTTGATCAGGATTAATATTTAACACGAAATCAGTACTCTGTTCGTGGATACAAGCAAGTTCAAGAACACCGGCCAAGTTATTTGGATTGTGCATCAGAATAATCAGGAGCATTTCTGGATGCAGACCCTTCTTAAAGTAATATAATTTTTGGGCATCTTGGAGGTTATCTCCTACATCGACTCTATCAGCAAGGTGTTTAAACTTGCTATAATATATATTAACCGTTTCTCCTGGTAATTGTCTCAGGGTGTTCAAGTTCCTTAACTACTTATTCTGCCAATGTTGATTATAAAAACGGGCTTTAAATGCATTTACAATAGCAGTCCAATCCGCATTAGTGTCATTCGTAGTGGCATTTGCCTGATAGTATATTTGTTGCCATTTATCAGCATTCTTATGCATAAAAGCAGGTAAAATATCCCGCTTGCATCTATTATTCCATCTATTGGCTATTGCAGCCTTTTCAAAACCCTCCAACCAAGTTTGGGGGTCTTGCGTCCCATCTCCCAAAAATGGATCAACTTTCAAAAGGATTGAATCCTTCTAGTTGTTTCGAAGGAAGTTCAAGATGTCACCAGCAGTAGCCATTGGTTCAACTGGAGGTGTTGGTGTTCGAAATAATCTGAGAAGTTCTAAATCCAATTCTGAGCTTTCCAATTCTGATAACGATTCTGCGGGTCCATATAGAATATCAATGGGCTCAAGATTAAAATGGGTAGTTTGTTAATATACCAGAGTAAGATATCTGGCTAGTATATCAAATCCCGGGTCTTGAAAGTACCGACAAGTGTAAATTAAAGTTTGAAAATCTCTTTCCATTAGGTTCGCAAGTTGTTATATATTTTGGAAAAGATAAACTGTGTATTCAGTATATTGATATACAGGGTATGCAGCAAAAAACCAAGTCCAGAAATGCGCAAACAAATGTGTCGATGCTGAAGTAATTGGAAAACACAACAAGCACGAAATATCCACATAAGCTCTTTGAATCCATTGGTAAGTTTGAAGGTCAGAACCAGGATAAATTGTATATTGATGATCATGTTGATTATTCCTTTGTATAAATTGATCGAACGTGAGCATATACAGTTTTTATTTTATAGAAATTGAGACCAAATCTCACAGTCACCACCAAATTGTTACACCTGAACTACACCTCTTAATAGTAGTTCAAGGAACATAGTGGTTATAGTAAGAAGACTATGACCTTGTGATTTGACAGAGACTAATAATGGTGTTGAATATATGACTTATCAAAGAGGTTTTACTAGGCTTTATTGAAAGAGACCATGACTAAATGTATATGAGGATACAGATAGTTGTTCTAATAATATAATATACTCAGTATTTAAGGTGTATATTATGTAAGCTCACAGACATGAATGTCCTCGAAAGTATGTGAGGTAATGTAATTTTTATTCAACAGTAAAGTTATGATCATGAAGTTCCTTCACGATAGTCATGTGGCCAAGATCGTTAAGTCACTTAATGATGTAAATTAATTTAACGTGTATTAAGACACGATTACTTTATTATAATAGATAGGTAAATGGATACAAAATATTATAGGGAAAAAGGGAAGGCGCGAACTACTTTTACCAAGACAAAAGGTCAGGTCTTTTATACATGTTTTGTCGGGCCATGATATACAACGCTTTTACTCTTTTATCATCTAATATTAACTACAACTTTTGCTAATCTAATGATTACAGCGTGGAAATTCATGAAGACATGAGATGGAGAAAATTAGCACGACGCGTATGAACTTACCCATATGAGATCGATTAGATCTACGTTCGATCCTGAATATCTTCATGTTGGGCACAATCATGGGAACCACATGATCTAACGGACATCAGTGTCCGCGAAGTCAGGTGGTAAAAATCCCATGTAACACCGGAATTGCAGGAGGTAGTATGATCTAAGTAAAATTTTTTTTTGTTGCACTACTTATGATCGCCAGTGTATAACGAGCTTCATTAAACATAACGAACTGTGAAGTTTTAAATTTATAATTTATATTATTGAGTTTTGAAAGTGTAAATTTTGTATATTCGATAATTTAATGTCATTTATAAAAATTTAACTCAATTTAATTAAAGTTTTATTGTTCATCTTAAGTCTGTTCACGATTGTTTATCTTTAGAATATGTTTAACTATTTTTGCATTTACTTTAGTCGAATAGTAGTTGTTTCTTTTCTTAAGAAAACAATTAAGAAATCTTAATCTTCCAAAAAACTTAATTTTCAAAAATAAAATAAAATAAAGAATTGGTAAAGGCACGAAAAATAATGTTGAAAAAAAATTTTGGACTCGGATTTTCTAGAGAATTTTAAGGTCGGTGACTGCGTCCTCGATTGGTGGTAACGCTGGGGCTTTTGTTATTCGATGATGAGTACGTATAAACTTCTAATTACACTACAGCACTAACGTTAACATTAAAGGTTCAAAATTCGATATGCGGATAAGTTACTCGAACCTAATACCTGGATCCGGATCCCAACGATAAGATCCGGATCCTAATAATAAGATCCGGATCTTAATAATAATTAGATACGAGTTTACAGTGTTTTCATAAATTCTGGGACACTTGAAAAATTTGCTCGTTTCCCGAAACTCTCTTGAAATTATATCGCTATTATTGGGCTAAAATTTCTAAGACAGCGACGTGGTATCTAGTGATGTGCCGCGTACAGTACTGTACGTACTATACGTACGTACTGTACGTACTGTACGCGAGAATTTTTGCCGATCATTTTATATGTAGTCTGTTTTATGTTAATTAAT